AATAGGGTAGATGCCTAATTTTTATTTTAATGTCCGTCTGGTAGATTATTTTAAATCATTAGACACGTATTTTTTATTTTCTTACAGAAACGAATACTTTCGACGATATATTGATTTGAAATGTCGCGTGACGTCACTTCTATGTACATTTTATACGTAGAAATTACGTTTTAGCCCCCACTCCTAAACTTTGATTCGTTTTATCTCCTAAGTATTGTTTTAATAAACGACAAAATAAAAAAATACGTGTCTAATATTTTTTCATTACCTAACTGACGGACTAGTTAGATTTTTAATTTTCATACCCTGTCATCATCCCAATTTTGAAATCAATTATCGATCATTCTGACACTATTGTAGGTAAGAGCAGACTTGAGACCCTGAAGTTATGCACGCACACATCAAGTTGTGTATAACCAGTATAAACTGAGCTTTAATTGTGCGGAAAGGTCATACGAAGCGAGACCAGGATAAATTGGTTGTATATAGTTTGTTATGTGTGCAATGTACATACATTTAGTGATTCATTTCTGTTGAAGTATTTATTTAATATATAATTATGATTTCTTTGAACACCTTGGTTCTACAATAATTACCTTATGTACTTTAGCACAAGGTCTTGTTTCCAAGTAAAGTATAATTGTTATTGGGTTTTTCGATCATACATTTCGAGTGTGAAAGGAGGATAAGAAGACATATATTTTCGGATTCCAGAAAAAAAAGCACAAAAAATCGAATTTTTCAAACTATATCATTATTTTTAGTGTCTCTTAAGTTGTACATATGTTTTTTCTTTTTCCCTTCCTTAAGTATATTGTAAATATCTAACTAATAAAACTAAATAGGTCTTAAAAAATCATTTATAATGGTTACCTTTTATATTGATATTGGCAAATTTTCCACGAATAATGTAAAATTAAATTCTGCAAATAATTTCCAAAAATTTTATTCACAGATAACTTAAGTACCTAATTAGCTTCCTCTAGCAAAAAAGTGAACCATGAAGGTTTTTTTATAAAAGCACAATCGACGAAATTCAACCATGACCCATTTCGTTTAAACTATCAAAATAACAGATGGCGCTTTTTTAAATAAACGACTTAAAAAAAAGAAAGCGGTATTTTGTAACGTATAACAGTGCAATAATAGTGCTACAAAAATACGAATCACATTAAAACCAAGGGGTTATAAGTAGAACATAATTAAAGTAGATATATTAATGGCTTTTTATCTCTTTTTCAGATTACAGTGAAACCGACTGAAGGGACCTCAACATTCACTGATAAAAATGGCGAGACGTGTCAGTGTGTGCCGTACTACCTCTGTGACGCAAACAATGTTGGTGTCGACGTTAATAACGCTTCGGTTACCGGCTGGGGCACATTGGATATCAGGTGAGAATAAGCTTTGAAGGTTAAGAACTTTAAGTAGGTAGGACTAGGACTCACGGTGCGATTTGCACCCGCGCCCGCCTCGGTTGCGGGCCCAAACTAAGGAATTCTCACGACGCGATTTGCGCCCGCGGCGCGCGGCGGTTGCAATTGTTTGCAGCGGCTAGCACCCTCGCGCTCTGGGATCGGTTGGCGGGCGATTAATGGGAGGCGAGCAACACCAAGTTATCAGGCGTTAATCGCAACCACGGCAGCTGCGGGGTCGCAGAAAACTGCGGTCTCGTGATTTTTGAAATTTCCGCCTCCATTCCGCCAGCACGGCGGGCGCGGGAGAAGATCGCGGCGTGAGTCCTTAGCCGAAGTGTACATAGTTACTGCACATATTATCTGCAATGTCACTTCCCTTTTTCATCAATTAAGTATATACGATCCCTTTTGGCCATCCTGTCCCATCTTGCAATCTCTGACAAAACACTGGACTGGTTCTCTTCCTATCTTCGGGGGCGTCAGCAGTCGATCCGGCTTGACGATAATTCTTCAGGTTGGTGTGATCTGCTGGCTGGTGTCCCTCAGGGCGGCATTCTCTCTCCTCTTTTATTTTCAATCTTTATTAATTTCATTACTTCTGAACTTCGGTGTGCGTATCATCTGTATGCGGACGACTTGCAGCTGTACTGTCAGGCTGCAGTGGATGACTTACCTAGTGCTATCACGGCAGTAAATGGTGATTTGGCTGCTATCTACAACTGGTCACAAAGGTTCGGCATAGAAGTAAATCCAAACAAATGTCAAGCCATAATCATTGGAAGCACACGTACCTGGAAAACAGTCAGTGTCGCATCGCTGCAGCCTGTCTCGTACAATAATGTGGCGATCCCGTTTAGTGAGGATGTGAAGGATCTTGGCTTACATATTGACAACACATTGAGCTGGCGTGCACAGGTCACTAGTGTATGCCAGAAGGTAACTGGGTCGTTGCGAGGCTTGTACCGCCTTAGAAACTTCCTTCCGTCTACTACCAAGGCACGGCTGGTGCAGGCCCTGATTTTTCCTATCATCGATTATGCTGATGTGTGTTACTACGACCTGAATGCAGATCTACTCAACAAAATTGACCGTCTTCTAAATAACTGCATTCGATTCGTTTTCAATTTACGTAAATATGATCATGTTTCTGCACATCGGTTGCAATTAAAATGGCTGCCCATACGCCTGCGCAGGCAACAAAGGGCGTTAACTACTTTATTTTCTTTTCTCGACTCTCCTTCTTCACCTGTTTATCTAGCTTCCTACTTCCAATATACATGCGCAAACCATTCTAAATACCTTCGCTCATCTAATAACCGTCAACTTCAATGTCCCACTCACCGCACTGACTATCTTCACTCCTCCTTTTTCGTTCAATCTGTCTCTCTGTGGAATGCGCTGCCCAAGGAAATCAGAATGGCAAATAATCGCTGTTCATTTAAATTTAAGGTTCGGGAACACATTTATAAAAAGTGGCAAACTCAAAACAGTGGTAATATGTAGTCTATGTATTGCATTTATTTATATATTTATGTATTATATAGTAATTATATCATATTATATGTATGCATATTTGGGATATATATTTATTATATAATTCATTTTAAGTCCCTATACCCTTAGTTATGTATTATCGACTATAACTATCATATCTTCCCTCTTTAATATTTTATACCTTAACTTCGTTATCTACTACTTCATACTTTCTTTTTACAATTTTGCACCTACCGCTTTAACATTCTGCACCACCCAATGGTCGACTGTCAGATAATGCCTACGGCATTAAGTCCGCCAATTACACTGTATGTGCAATAAAGTTTAATAAATAAATAAATAAATATATAAAAATCAAGAGGAGCGAAACTTAATTGACTAGTCGTGGTGGCCTAAGGTTTAAGATGCCTGCTTTTTCATAAAGGAGGGTGCGGGCTAGAAACCTACCAATGGCAAGTAACAATACGACTTTTTCCAAGTTATATGTACTTTATAAAAATTTTAGACACCACTGACAAACGGTTAAGTAAAACGTCGTGAGGAAACCTGGGCTTAATCATTTCTAATTACAAGTTGAAAATCGCCAACCCGCATTGATTAAGTATGGTGATTAACTCGTCGAGTATCGTTATTATAGACACAATTATAGAACAATAGGTTGCGGTCACCGGTGACCGCTTGGTGTTTGACAGTTTCATGCTCAAACCTTCTCCGTGTGGGGAGAGACCTTGGCTTAGCAGTGGGCATATAGGCTGTTGATTTATTTTATTTTTTTATTTGTTGGGCCGACACTTGGCCCCTTTCTAGCCTGGTGGTAAGCGATGTTGATGATGATAATGATATTTCATTTGCGCTTCGCTCATTTGCATAAAAATTATCCAGAAATAAAACTTATTTCAGTAATAAAAGTGCGTAATTCGTAAAGGCGTAAAACTTCGAGTTGTGTTCCTTTCTGACATTTTAAGCTATTCTACATTCATCTAACATTTCTCCACAATTCATATAAAAAACTTCGCGGTTAAAATCGCTAACCACTGCTAAAATAACTACTAAATTCCACCCTCAGGTTTGGAGAAGACAACGACATAGACAGACAGTGTCAAGAGAGTGTGGAGGTCTGCTGTACCATCCCCAAGGATACTTCGGAGCAGCCCAAACCGAAGCCTAAACCCAAACCCGAGCCAGGCCAGGCTAAAGGATGTGGTTACCGCAACCCCAACGGTGTTGGTGGAATCACTGTCACTGGTGGAAGCGTAAGTAAAATTGGACTATATTTTTGGTCTCATAAGGTCTGTTTTGTATTGATACGGTTTATTGTGCTTTCTAAGTAGTTGGATTTAGAATTTAGAATAGTTGGCAACTTATGGAAGTTTATTTATTATTTATTTATTTATTTATTTATTTATTATAACACCTTACAATGTGACATCTTACAGTTTATTCCAATGCAATATCACATTTCCTGACACATTTAAGTCTAACACGTAACTTAATTAATAAACAATTCACCTTAATTATTAGATTTATAAGAGTTACATACTCTCAGTATGACATACATATTATAACCATACAGACCCAATTACTCAATACGGTGATATTCAATATGCCTTTGCACTGCTTCAATAAACCTTGGTAGGTTGTGGAACAAATCATGCTCCGGTACACTATTTATAATCCGAATAGCACGCGAAATAGGAGCATATTTAAGAAGATTAGTCCTAGCCCTTGGCACTTCCAACAGGGTGGGGCGTCGACGAGCCCCTACGTATCCGTCTGGCACACGCAATCCCAACATCTCCAACACTTCCGGGTGATGGACCAATCCTCGTAGTACCCTGGCGATATATTTAACTAGTGCCACATCTCTCCGCACCTCTAGTGTATTGTACCCAACTGTCCCCAGGACGAATAAACTTGGGTACATCAATGGGAAAAATGGATAAATCCCATACAATTTCAAATACAAAAATCTTGTGAACTTGTTCTGTATTTTTTCCAACATCTTAATGTATTTGTCCTCATGTGGATTCCAAATAATAGCACAAGTTTCAAGATGGCTTCTAACCAATGCATTATATAGAATTTTAAGTACCGCTATATTTTTAAAATCATGACCCTGTCTCAATATAAACCCTAAATGTCTAAAAGATTTGCTACATAGATCCGTGACGTGTTTGCGAAACGTTAGCTCGGTCACCATGTGAACCCCTAGATCTCGGACGTTTGAGACACGTGGCATTATTGCACCATCTATTTGATACTGATAGCAAATTGAAGAGCGGGCGCGAGTGTACGTCATCACACAACATTTGGCCACGTTAAAATACAGCTCATTATCCCGGCTCCATTGTACTACTTGATCAAGATCTTGCTGAAGCCGAGCACAGCCCACGGAGTCCTCGACCTGCAGAAAGACCTTTAGGTCATCCGCGAATAGCAAGCACCGCGCACTGCGCACGACCTCAGGGAGATCATTAACCATAATTAAAAACTCCAGTGGACCAAGATTACTCCCTTGACTGACGCCCGAGTATGTATAATACGGTTTAGACCTTCGCCCTGCGTACTCCACAAACTGGCGACGATCCCCCAGATAGCTTGCAAAAAACTTAAGCAAATGAGGGGTGAAACCTATTTTGGACAATTTCGCAAGTAAAATATCGTTGTTTACTGTATCAAATGCTTTCCTGAAATCAAAATAAGCGACGTCTACCTGCCCACCGGCGTCTACAGCTGGCGTCACGTATGACATAAAAGAGAGAAGGTTACTCCCCGTCCCACGTGCCACCCGAAAACCGTGTTGAGCCTCGGAAAATGTTTGCCCAACCTGTGAGTAAATCCGTTTTTGTAAAATAGACTCAAAAATCTTAGCAAAGGCCGACAACACTGCTACCGGGCGATATCCTTCGATATCTGACCCTTTACCTCCCTTTGGAACCGGAATTACTCGTGTTATTTTCCAGCAATCCGGATAGCGGCCTTCACTCAAACACAAATTAAAAATGTGTAGCAACGGTTTCAGAAAAACAGAACTACAGTCCTTCACTACGAATGGTGGTATTCCATCTGGACCCACTGAGTACTTAGGCTTAAGTCGCTGAAAAGCCGTACATAAATCTCTCCTGGTAAGATAGTCAATGTGTACGCGTGCAGAGTCCGCACCTGCGCAACCACCTCTCGCAGCTCGCTCCGCCGCATGAGTATCAAGCGCCGGTCGCTTTTTACTATATACCGAGTGGAAATATCTAGCAAAACATTCCGCAGATTCTTCCTCCGTAATCACTAAATTGTCCTTGGTTATCTTGGGTTTATTCCTACGCATTTGTTTAGTTCGAACAAATGTCCAAAATGACCTTGGATCGTCCTTAAAATTTATTTGCAACTTATGTTGATACTCCTGATATGCAGCTGATATTTTACGTTTCACTATTGACCGGTAACGAGAAAACGTTTCGTAATCACTTAAAGATGACGTAATTTTAAATAATTTGTGATGTCTCCATTTTGTCCTAATATCCTTTATTATATCCGACGTGTACCATTCGGGATAAGTCCTCTTATTTTTGTACGATTTACTGGCATTTTTCCTAGGAACGCATAAATTAATACAATTGTTAACTATGTCATAAAAATAATTTAATGCTAAGTTTGAACTTTGCGTGTCATAAATCAAATCCCAATTCATCAATTGTAAATCATGATACAGTTGACAAAGGTTTGCTTTTTTAAAATTCCACATTGAATGAAGTTGAAACCACTGAATCGATTATGAATGCAGGCAGGATATGGGCTGAGTTAGGTGATAGGATAGTTTCTATCCCGATTAAATGCTCCCATAGGATAAGATAGGAATCATATTCTGGCAACAGCTAGTCCTTTAACAATAATGGGCATTCATTTTTAATTCACTACAACTCCTCCGTACTTTAAATTGCATCCGTATCACTACATATATAAAACAAAGTCGGTACATGCCGTCTGTCTGTCCCTGTGTATGCTTAGATCTTTAAAAGTACGCATGTGATTTTGATGCGGTTTTTTTAATAGATAGAGTGATTCTTAAGGAAGGTTTATATGTATAATAAATGCATATTGCACCCGTGAGACGCCGGGGCGGGTCGCTAGTTGGAGATAAGATTATTTTGCATCTAATAGGACCTTTTGCCTTTTTCAGGGTGCTGAATCCCAATTCGGCGAGTTTCCCTGGGTTGTCGCTATCCTGGACAAGTACAACTCCTCGTATGGAGGAGTCGGTGTGCTCATACACCCGCAGGTGGTGATGACTGGTGCCCATATTGCTCAAAGGTAACATAATATCATGCCTTTATCCCTGAAAGGGTAGGCAGAGGTGCACATTACGGCACTTAACGACACTGTCGCCACTGTACCATGCAACACAACCACTTTTTATTATTTTATGTTATGAGTCCCATGTAATAGGGGGTAAACCTATTGCCATATACCGTGCACAATTTCAGACGCCGTGCTACTACTGAGAATTTATGAAAAACCCAGTAATACTTTGACCCGGGAATCGAACCCGAGACCCCTAGCCCGGCAGGCGCACTTGCGACCACTCGGCCAACGAGGCAGTCAAAATCAGAATCAAAACATTAAGGACTATAACGTAACTGTTTGAGGTTACGTGACTGAGTTCACGTCTCGCCAGAAGACTATAATCTTGAGCAGCATGCGTGATAACCAACCACAACAAGCCCTGTGCTTGATTAAATGTAACATGTTGTAAATTTCAATAACTAAATTAAAATAAATTTTCACAGATACGCCCCCGGAGGTATGAAGATCAGAGCTGGTGAGTGGGACACACAAACCATCAAGGAGATATTCCCATATGAAGAGAGAAATGTTCAGAACGTTGTTATACATGAAAGTAAGTAGATTTACATCTGCCTTGTTCGGTCAGTCGTTCAGTCGAGTACTGTACCAAATGTCGTGCAAAGTATTCAAATGAAAACCAAGGTTTGACTGCGTTCGTACCCCGAATTGGACAATGTATTTTATTTATTTATTTATTAACGCTTCATGCACAAAGTGTACACAAGGTGGACTTAATGCCGCAGGCATTTTCTCCCAGTCTGACCTTTGGGTGATGCAGAGAAGAGTGAATGGTAGGAGCAATTAGCAAGCTACGATTTAATTGAGCAAATAGAAGATTATACTAACATATTTCAGATATGAACATAAATAAATATAATAATAATATATATTATATTTTTGGTATATATTACCTCTATATTTATTTATTTTTGGTGGTTTTTTTAATTTTCTCAGTAATAGTTAATAGTGAAGTTCTGTAATTTGTACTATGCGTCAAGCGTCTTTACATTGTTCTCACATATACGTTTAGTATTGGAATATGCATCAGAGAGATTGTAAAACACATTTATTTAAAGAGCAACGAATGGTGTTTCTTAATCTTTCTTCTCTAATCGAATCTACATTTTGGCACGAACACCTAGCTTCACTGACGGACAGACTGACAGACTATTATTTATTTTGTATTTGTTGACGTTTCAAAAGTACCAAATTATGGTTTAATAAAAATTTAATTAGACTTTGACAACTAGATTTGTCACACCTACTTTAATTATACAACACTTGGTTGCCAAAAAAAAAACTATACAATTTTTTAACATATACCTTCATATATTACACAGACTTCATGCCAAAAAGTTTGAAGAATGACATCGCATTGCTATACCTGGACAGCCCCTTACCTATATCGGAGTACATCAACGTGATTTGCATGCCAGAACAGGACGAGGTCTTCGACAGCCATAAGAACTGCGTCGCCAATGGATGGGGCAAGAGCCACTTTGGTAAGTGGAGAAGACCAGTAGACCTAAGTAGACCAGTAGACCTAAGTAGACCAGTAGACCTACGTAGACCAGTAGACCTAAGTAGACCTTAGAGTTTCATATTAGCTTTGAAATAATTTTCACAAGATATGTCTATTTTTTATGGAATAAACCGGTAAACGAGTATCATCTTATGGTAAGCAATCGGCGCCGCCGTTATACCGGGGCTCCGGGTCAAAGTAGAAATAGGAACGGGGTGGTATTTAGTCAGTAAGAGTCTGACACTCTCTTTCGCCTCACCCGGGCGAGAGAGTCATTGCATGATATTCCACCCTTCAAAAAGTACATAAAACCGAAATTATTTTTTGTGACCTGGAGTCGAAGCTCCTTGTAAAAATCACCATTATCATTCCCAGGTCTCCAAAACCGTTATGCCGTGATCCTAAAGAAGGTGGAACTCGATATGGTGCCATACAGCCGCTGCCAATCTTTGCTGAGGAGGACCAGGCTTGGACATAACTTCAAGCTCCATAACAGCTTCGTGTGTGCTGGTGGAGAGGCTGGCAAGGACACCTGTCAGGTAGGATGAGATCCTTTATTTTTGTGGGTGGTGCTTCAGCTTTGCAAGGGTGCTTTTGCCAACTTTTTTTTAGTGAATTTGGCTTGAATATTTGGTTGCTGTATAAACTTTGTCGGACGTCAAAGAATAGGGTAGATGCCTAATTTTTATTTTAATGTCCGTCTGGTAGACTGCGTATTTTTTTATTTTCTTACAGAAACGAATACTTTCGACGATATATTGATTTGAAATGTCGCGTGACGTCACTTCTATGTACATTTTATACGTAGAAATGACGTTTTAGCCCCCACTCCTAAACTTTGACTCGTTTTATCTAAGTATTGTTTTATTATACGACAAAATAAAAAAAATACGTGTCTAATATTTTTTCATTATCTAACTGACGGACTAATTAGATTTTTAATTTTCATACCCTGTCATCATTCCAATTATCCAATTTGGTGTGTTGTTCAGTTATGCGCGTAATAACGTTATTTGCTTGATTCAAAGCATTTTAAGGGATAAATTCAGTTAAAGTTTTAATCTCAGTTCATGCACTAAGTTTTTTTATATAGCACTAAGCTGCTAAATATATGTACATATGGGCTTCCTCTTGTCGTAATTTTGCCAACTTTTTATCTGTTTATCTTACCTATATATCGAAACGAAACCACTGTCGGCGCTCTGATTGGCCGGCGCCAATGAACTAACCAATCAAAATCGACGTAAAAGAAACTCCAATAGGAATTTCTTTACCATTTACCTACCATTAGTAAATGGTACTGATTATTTTTATTGCGGATTTAAATTCACTGTAAATTCATGTGCTATTCTGACTTCTCTTATAAATTTTACAGCTTAGGAGTTACAATTTTTGGGTTAATTTATTTGTCTTTTATTTTTTCTTGATTTCTCCTTTCGAGTTCTACCATAAGTTGAAAAGTAGTCACTTATGATGATGACCTTTATTTCTTCTGGCGAATGTAAGTTGCCACTTCATCTCTAACTAAGTCAACCGTAACCCAATAGTGGGGAGAATTCTTATACTAGACATGTTGTATATTTTGGAGTTTCGCTTTCTTATCCTAATGCATAACCTGCTTTGCTAACCGTACGCATTGGCTTCATAAAGGAATTGCTTTTATGCGACCTCACAAGATAAAAAAGGTTTTAAATAAAAATCAATATTTTTGCACAGGGCGACGGTGGCGCTCCCTTAGGCTGCCCTGTTGGCAACAACAGATACAAGCTGACTGGCCTAGTAGCGTGGGGAATAGGGTGTGGACAACAGGATGTCCCAGCAGTGTACACAAATGTGCCACTGTTCAGTAACTGGGTGGACGCGAAAATGGCTCAATGGGGACTCGAAGCGACATCCTACCGATACTCAGAATAATTTTTAAATAGTTCTAGTATTATTATTAGCTTTTAAATTATCACCTTTCATTAGACAGTCCTTTTTGTGAGCAAAAAATGGTCTTGTGAAAAAGTACTATCGGCGAAATTTTTGGTGTCCAACAACTGTGTTGTCGCTGATTGGGTTTGTTGATATAGTACTGAAATGTAACATTTTTGTGAGCAAATTTTGTCCTGTCTTCTCGCTCTATCATGCCATTTCGTCTATCACCCCTTTTTGTATCATCAGGCACTATCTTGATTGTAATTTTTTTTACACACAGTGCAAAAGGCCAGTATGGAACACATTATATATATAAATTGCGAAAGGAGTACAACATTTTATAATGTTATGTTTATGTCAATCCCATCTTTCGGTTACCATTTTGTATATCATTCATTGTGGTTACTTAATAAGTAATTTTTTAATGAAGATTAACGGGAGTTTTTTTTAGATATTTTGTATAAAATTACTCATTGCAGTTGTACAGATTATGTGCTTATGGACTTCTAATTAATGACATTTCCTTTACCATTCCATTAGGCTCCTTTTTTGAGGGATGAAAATTATTTAATTTTAATGACTTCTCCTTTGCCTTTGCCTTGGGTGAGGTGAGGGAAGCTGTCAGATTGTTACTGATTAAAAACTACCTTGTAACATCCCATAGACCATTACCGTCTTTACTATAAGGGTTGTCGGGGCCTGTACCCAGGTCCCCCATTCTCAGGGGCCCTGAAGGACTGACGATTTCTACGACAGTCGTTGCGCGGCAATCGACTGCCCTGCAACGTGTAGCGGGTTAGATTCCCGCACGAAGCAAACTTTTGTGTGATCCACAAATTGTTGTTTCGGGTCTGCATGTGCTTGAACTTGTATATTTGTCAGTGCACACACGACACAGGAGAAAATCCTAGTGTAGGGCAACTTTAAGAAAGTAGCGTAAGCGTAGTCTAAGTTGACCCTGTTATAGACACCTGTGAGAGGACAAAACATTTTTTAAAAATCATAATGCACTCTTTGTATTTAAGTGAAACGGCTTTTACTTTATCAGACTAGTTTTGTTTCTTGAGTGCGTTTAGTTTAAACGCAGTATTTTTTTTATCAAACGCTAAATCTTGACTGTCTCGGTGATTACTCAAATATAAATTATGTTTATTATTGTTATTTCTATCGGTTTTTTCGTTATTATTATTATTATTTTTTTTTATTGTTTGTGTAACACACTATGTGTCTCAGTGTTATTATATCTTTTCCTGCCACAGGCCCACAGGAAGAGATTCCAGTTGGAATATGTGGGGCCTATGTACTCTGTTTTTATATATGTGTTGTCCTCTGTGTTGAATGTGTGTACATAAATAAATAAATAAATAAATAAATAAATAAAAAGACTAGCTTATGCCTGCGGCTTAACCCGTGATCCAGAATAATGAAAAGTGGCCTATGTGTTATTCCAGACCATAAGCTACCTCTGTTGCAAATTTCATACCGATCCCTTCAGCCGTTTGGACGTGAAAGAGTAACAGAAACACGCAAACACATACGTCCTCACAAACTTTTATTATTTATAATTATCTATTTGATATTCATAAGACTCCTTTCTATTTATACATTAATCGCATAAAAGACTATATGGTATAATTAATACTATACAGTACAACTAATTTTAATTATTATTAGATATATAATAAGACAAAATGTTACCTTACTCTAAATAACATAAATGCTCAAATACATTTAAATTAAGTCATTACTATTTTTATACAAGTGCAAAAATAAATCGGATTCACAAGTAAGGTTTTGGTTTTTTAATTTCCATTTCTTTTGTTTTTTTTTTAAACTGTCAAACACCAAGCGGTCACCGGTGACCGCAACCTATTCTATAATTGTGTCTACAAAACCGGTAGTCGACGAGTTAAACTGTCAAACACTGCGAGGACACCGGTGACCGCAACCTATTGTTCTTTAATTGTGTGTATAATGACGGTACTCAACGAGTTAAACTGTCAAACACCGCGAGGACACCGGTGACCGCAACCTATTGTTCTTAAATTGTGTGTATAATGACGGTACTCAACGAGTTAAACTGTCAAACACCGCGAGGACACCGGTGACCGCAACCTATTGTTCTTTAATTGTGTGTATAATGACGGTACTCAACGAGTTAACAGATTTCTAAATAAAGGTGGTTCTCAATTTAACCTGTATGTTTGTATGCAAATATCTCGCGTTTGAGTGAAGCGATTTTGATCCCTTTTTCAGAATAGTGTTTGGTACACTTAAGATGTTTTAGTGGGTACTTATATTAATTATACGATGGCATTAAAAATGATGGAGTTGAAGTCGGTTTTTTACGTAGTTTATGAAATATTCTTTTTCTTTTTATAGTTTTGTCTGATATATGATGGCTGAACTGAGATAAGTACCATTTTAGAGTCGCACTAAATATTAATGCATTGATATCTTCTTAAATAGAGAAGATGGTTAGTTTTGTTCGTGCTAATCGTAATAGATACCTAATAATACCTATGTTAATAATAATATCTATGTTATTTTTTACGAAATCAGAAACATCGATATTATTTAATGGAAAATTCTCAATTTATTTATCTCACACATCAAGTAGGTGTCTTATATTTTTCTATATTATTAATATAACTTCTAACTGAAAAATTAACATTATATATATTCTTAAACCCTGTCATCAGATTTGTCGACCAAATATTAGAAGACTATCTTTTTGTTTTTTTTCCGCAGGGAGACGGTGGGGCCCCCTTAGCGTGTCCATTTGGCAACAACAGATACAAGCTCACTGGCCTAGTAGCGTGGGGGATAGGATGTGGAGACCAGGACGTCCCAGCAGTGTACGCCAACGTCCCAATGTTCAGAAATTGGATGAATCAAAAGTTATCACTGTGGGGCATCGCTGGGACTTATTCTTAAGCGGTTATCTACCTTAAATTGTCTATTTAGCAGTCGAAATTTAATAATCGTTTTGAAATCAAAAGTAGTAATGTCGAAAATTGATCAACATTTTGGATTGAGTTGAGATTGATTATTTATTTCGACTTTTGACGATTATGTAGTTAATTTAAACAAAAAAATATATAATTAAAAACAACAACAAAAATGACATACCACAGCACATAGAGCTATCATATTTTGTCAATGTTTTCAATAGAAATTTCAACCATATTTTAAGTTGCTTAACCTCTGGTATGTCGGAGCGTAGATCTACGCGAGACACAATGCGTTTGCTATTGTGTCTCATATATCGATAGACATGAGGTTGAAAATCCGTTGACAGTGAAATAATAACTTTATGAGCTGACGAGTTCGTCAAACACTACTATTAAGGTACGAATAGACTACGCTATACATTGAATGAATAAATCGAATGTCGCTGTATAAAAACAAGTGTTTGCAATTGGAAAAATCATTGTGATAATGATAATTAGTGCTGCATCAGCCTCCGCACATGATCCGTAAAGTATAAACAGTACAGACCTGAATGAAATGTTGTGTCGTAATCTATTCGTAACTTTTATTTCGGATGTAACTCAAGAACAAAAATACTGTTAGCAAATCTTGACGGCTTAAGTCTAGCTGGTCACCCGTCAATTTTGCCAGTAGTACCTAATCTACGGTGGCTGGCAGGTCAACCTATCATTTTCTGTCAAACATCTGTATTATATCTTCGACTTTATTATATGTTCATAAAGTCAAAAATCCAATGAGTAAATTTGACAGTTTTGAGTTGTCTAATCTGCTGGCCATTGTACGCTTACCGTTTAATTTATGAAATTAATTATTTTACTTTATATCTTTCCTATCTTCTAGTCATTTTTAAATGTTTATTATTTTCTTTCTATTTTTGTTTCCATCCGCATACCTACATTTACTAATTAATCCATTTTTTATGAAGTCATTGATTTATTGATTTCATTTTCGTATTAATTATTTCAAATCCTATAAAAAATTGACAATCATCTATTTTGTAGATGAGTGGGTCGTTTATAGACTATTCTGAGTGGATACAAGGAAACAAACTCAGTAAACAACAATTAAAACTCATATTAGATTAGTATTTTGAATTTTAAAATGACAATAAATGTAAAATGTGCGGGTTTGATAATGTAAGATGTTCATATACACATGTTGACAATTAAATTATTACTATTATTATATTTGAGTATTTTTATTTATTAATCTGAAGTCCGAAAGTTCACTTACGCAAAAAGCCGACAACGCACTTGTTTTCTTTATTTCTTACCCACTGCTGAGCGAAGCCTTTTCTCACACAGAAAAGGTTTGAGCATTAATCGCCACGCTTGCTCAATGCGCGTTGGCGATTACAAGCTTATTATTAGAAATTATAGGGTTTCCTCACGATGTTTTCCTTCACCGCTTGCCAGTGGTGTCTAGATCTTAGAAAGTACATATAACTCGGAAAAACTCACATTCACGTCACCCGCATGCATGCATGCGGCGTCCTAACCTTCGAACCTTTGGTGTTGCGGAAGTCTATTGCCCGTTTTCAGCAAACTCCCTTAAAACTCCCCTAAGCTAAGTGATTTTGGTTCTCACCAATCTATAAGTATCACCTAACACAGTTAGATTCGTTATAGCTTAGTCCACCCTCGAGAAGAGCTCACTATACAAATGATCCTATGAAGTAAGGTTTTAGCTTAGTACAACTAGTAAAGGGTTAGATTATTTAAGTGGTATGTAACGCTAAGTGACTTTTAGTTAAGAGATGGCTTAGGGAAGGTCGGTAAAGACGGTCATAAGGCAAATGATCTGTCTACTCGTTTGACACCCTCAAACAAATAGGAATATTACTCCTTCGGTTGTCGAGCAGTTTCAAGAGCAACTACCGAGTCTGCTCCACTTTGAACTCTGGTTCGAGATGTGAATATCTGGATAGATAGAGAGATCTGGATAAAACTAACGGTTCTACCTCGAACCAGAGTTCGAGTACCGAAAAAATGGCGTGAATAGGGATAGAAGAGGGGTGAATCGATACTATGAAGAATTTCCTTATATCTATTCACCCCTCTCCTGCCTCTTTTCGCCGCTCAAACCTTATTCATCCCATTTTACCGTGTGATGTTGCATTAGGTCCAAATAAATGATTACTAACTATGTAAAGTAGGTAATAAAAATATATTTATTCATTTAACAATAAACTTAGGTTCATACAAATTGCTTTATCTCCTGTCCAATGCAACATAAGTCTTGCACAATCGACATTAACATTACAGTGCTTTTTTAACATTAATACCTAATTATTATTATATTGCTATTTTTTAATATTAAATATAATTCATTTTCTCTTACAGGGTGATGGTGGCGCCCCCTTAGCGTGTCAATTTGGCAGCATGAGGTATAAGCTGACGGGTCTAGTGGCGTGGGGGATTGGGTGTGGGCAACAGGAAGTCCCAGCAGTGTACGCGAACGTCCCAAAGTTCAGGAATTGGGTGGACCAGAAATTGGGAATCTGGGGCGTCACAGCGACTTCTTACAGCAATATTAAAGTTTAAATTTTCGACTATGCTGCTAACTTTTAACGATTGAAAGATTTTTAAACAAAAATTATTTTTGAAAGCAATGCATTTTTACAGATGCTAGCATATTAGGCTGTCCTATTTTCTATTATAATATTATTCATTGATTTTTCAATTGTTTCAAGTAGGTAATTAAGGTTAAAAATCTATTGACTGTTAGGCGACAGCTTTATATGCTAGCGTGTGTTCGTCAAAACGTAGTATTGGTGTAGTTTACGCTTTGCCAGTCGAGCTGGTCAACCGTCAATTTTGCCGATAGTACTTTTGGACGTTTACCGGATCAAAAGTTACAAGTTTGGTGTTTCGCAGCGATATCTCACAGCAATATTAAATTTAAATGACTTATTGAATTATTTAACACATAAATTATTATCTATTATTATAAAATGACAAATAAATTGGTAAGTAAATTATAATATATTAGTGTTTATTTAATTTTGACTGTAGGTAAGGCAGTACTGCAGTTTGCCTTCTCTAATTCGGCGTGAAGTTGTTTCAAACGAGCTCTAGCTAACGTCAGGTTGGCATTCGTAGCACGCATACTTTCCTGAAACAAAAAAAAATATATATTTCATGTAAGTACCAAGGAAGCGAGGTCCACTGGTAGGTATTGTCATAAGCTAATGTTCACATGTAAACAGTGACTCGTGTAGTGTAGATGTCCAGTCAACTGATGGTAGCGAGGTTCACTGTCCAGTGACACACGTACTCTGGTATCGTCATGAGCTAATGTTCACATGTAAACAGTGACTCGTGTAGTGTAGATGTCCAGTCAACTGATGGTAGCGAGGTTCACTGTCCAGTGACACACGTACGCTGGTATCGTCATGAGCTAATGTTCACATGTAAACAGTGACTCGTGTAGTGTAGATGTCCAGTCAACTGATGGTAGCGAGGTTCACTGTCCAGTGGCAAACGTACGCTGGTATCGTCATGAGCTAATGTTCACATGTAAACAGTGACTCGTGTAGTGTAGATGTCCAGTCAACTGATGGTAGCGAGGTTCACTATATCATCATGAGCTACTTACTTGAACATTCAGTAATGTTTTGTCAGCTCTGGTTAGCTTCTCGACTGATATTTCTGTAGTATGCTTGATTAGGCCTTCAAGCGTTGCTCGAAATGATACGTTGCATTCCCCTGTAATTTTGGAAAATAGTCCTTTATATAAGTGTTTTATTTAGTATTTTGTAGCGAGCTAAGACTACAACTTTTCTGTCGCTTTAATAACTAAGACAATCAATACACTCAGTAGTTGTTCATACTCTTATAATTCATTTCATAGAGTACAACAATCATTAGCTTTTTATTTTATTTCAGGAATTGATTACGGAGTCTCATTAATCAATCATTGTATTGTCGTTACATCGTTCTCACATATATATACATTAGGTAAAGGATCAGATAATGTATTAATGAGACTGTAAAAAATCATTTTTTAAAATGATTACCGATGGAGTATCTTGCTCATTATTCTCTATATGAAACTATACTTTGGAACGAGCGAACCTAGCGTCACTGACAGTTTTGGACTGTACGGACAATTTAATGTTAGATGTTTCAAAACTGCCTAATTGATTGATATAAATGCTTTGACTTAGAAGAAAGTATTTTATTGTAATATTTCTTACTTGTTCTTCTTTATACATATAAATCTATATCTTGAAACAATCAGCTACTTAATTAACTAAAAATCGCGGGTTATTCACATGAATATACTGAGAAAAGCTCTAGTAGGTTAGTATGTCTCACAGTAATTATTATGAAAACAAAGCAGCTACTTGTTATTGACTTATTATTAAACAATTTGAACAACAATGACACAAAAACAAACAAAAACTGCTTATGGCATAAGCCAGTAAACGAGCAGACGGATCACCTGATGGTAAGCAATCGGCGTCGCTCAGGGACACCTGGAACACCAGAGGCGTTACAGGTGTACCGGCCTTTTGGAGATTAGGAGTTCGAGGACCGTTGGGGATTCAGGGATTGGGGAGATTGAGGAAGGGAAGGGTAATTGGGCCTCAGGTAACCTCACTCACACGACGAAACACAACGCAAGCGTTGCTTCACGTCGGTTTTCTGCTCGGCCGTGGTATCACTCCGGTCGAGCCGGCCCATTCGTGCCGAAGCATGGCTCTCCCACACTTGTTTGAGTCAGGCTCGCATATTAAAGGTAGTTCTGAACAATCTATAAAAAAACCAATATATTTCAACTGTAGGGCCACTGAGTATACTTACAAAGCTTCTGATGTAGCAAAGAGTTGTAAATATTGGAGTTAGCCGGTGCTGGTGTTGGAGATGGTCGTAGGACACTGTTCAGCGGTAGATCCAGTTCCGGCAAGTTTGATGGTATTGTTAGCTTAGTTTCTGTAACAGAAGATAAGTATTATGTATCTCTTTTAAGGAATAGGAGGCATACGCGCAAACAGATCACTTGATGGTAAGCAATAAGCGCTGCCCGTGGACACCTGCAACAGCAGAGGAGTCACAGGTGTATGTTATTGCTTAAAGATGGAGGTGTACTTATGGGTAAACTAATCAGTTATGTTATAAACCAAAGAGTCGGACACAATTTTTAACTCAGTACCTAGAGACTGAAAAATAAATACATCTACCATTTTTCATTCTATAACTATTTTATTCTATATTGACAATCCTAAGTTTATGTTATTTGTATTAAATACTTACTGACTGCCTCGTTGGCCGAGTGGTCGCAAGTGCGACTGCCGGGTATGGGGTCTCGGGTTCGATACCCGGGTTGGGCAAAGTATTACTGGGTTTTTAAAAAACTCTCAGTAGTAGCACGGAGTTTGAAATGGTGGCGGGTTTATAGCAATAGGCTCACCACCTATTATATGGGACTCATAACATAATAGCGAAAAGTGGGTGTTACATTGCACAGAGGCATAATGTACATGTCTGCCTACCGCTTCGGTGACAAAAGGTTAAATGTTATGTGTACTTATGAATAAATATATATAGCTTAAAATTAGTTAAAACAGTGAATAAACTTAAAAAAAGATAAAAGAAAATAATTATTTTAATATTGGTATATTTTATGATACTTACCATCATCAGATTCTGGAGCCTCTCCTGCTATTACAAATGACTTGGTATTAACTGATAAGTCAAGGTCCTGGAATAAATTTCATTCATGTTTAGGTGACCTACTTATTAGTCGTTTATAAACAATTCATATCAATCTTAGCCTAAGTATAATTTAAGTAACGAGCTTAATATTTTTATGAAATATCACATAGCACTGTTACTTTAAAGACAAAGGTACTTCAAGTGATACAAAGTTTGTTTCATTAAATACTAGCGACCCGCCCCGGCTTCGCACGGGTGCAATATGCATGTATTATACATACAAACCTTCCTTAAGAATCACTCTATCTATTAAAAAAAACCGCATCAAAATCCGTTGCGTAGTTTTAAAGATCTAAGCATACATACGGACATACAGCGAAAGCGACTTTGTTTTATACTATGTATTGATATTTAAGTACAAACCGGCGATTTCCCGATTTCTATTTCAGAATCTGATTCGGACGCCTCGCCGTCGACGACTTGTGCATTTTTAGACATTTTTTCTTATTGGAAATGTAATATTTAAC